CATGCAACCGTTACGGCGGATTACCATAAATATTATGTAAACTTGTATAACTTTTAACGAGTATACGACTTTAAATATTACTTTTCAACTTTACGTAATTCAATAAATATCTTAATAATAATAATATTAATAATAATAATAATAATTTTAAATATTACTTTTCAACTTTACGTAATTCAATAAATATCTTAATAATAATAATATTTGAATCAACGGTATTCAGATTTCACATATCAATTACTATATATAAACTAATATCAATAAAAATGTAAAAAATCAATTATAATTGTAGCACTCATTAAAATGACTAATATATCACTAGAATCACATAAAAATGAGAAATAAATAACACAGTTCAACATAACTCACCGATTTTCATAAAGAAATCATCAAGAGCTAATAATACTAGCTAACCTAATAATTAGCTAGCAACAACTGATAATAATAAGAGCTAATAATAGGCATTATTAGCTCTTGAAATCATATAGATCAGGGGTGTCCAACATCCATCAGGAGTTATGAATGCAGTCAGCTTAACCCCAAAGCGTTGCCCCCCCCAAATCTTCAGTCGAAAGGCTATATACTTAACAATTGTCATGGATAAAAATTCCACCGGCTCGCACTAATATTGAATTTAAATTCCTTAGATCGCCATTTAGAAACATTGACACCCCTGAATGTGGATGATGACCAATTTGGAATCTTTAATCGCATATAGGTGAGGTTGCCTTCCCTCCAATTATGTGCTTATTCCACATATCTTGTTGCGCGAATTCAGTGCTTAACCAGATCTCTCCTAGAGTTCTACATCCTCTGTCATACCACAGTTTTATATACGTAAACGGCATCTACGTTTGAATACAAGTGCATTAGTGCAAACACCCATACTGATTTCAGGTGTTGTAGACTGGCAATTGCTGAGATCAAATGTTGACATGTTTAAGATGGCATTTAGGTCATTTCGTGTTTTCTCAATAAACCAGTGATTAACACTGGGCGTCCGCCACAAGTCGGAGTCACTTACTAGGCTCATAACAGCAATGCCGATGTGACGGGTAGGCGATAAAACAGCACCTAGAACCTTCCCCAGTGACTTCCACACACAACGTAATTCAATGGACATGTACCGTATGCTCACATAATTATACAAACGCCCATCACCTGGGGTCCAATACCTAAAACGAATATTCAACTAACACATCTAGCAAACATATATAAAGTGCATCGTGTTTATATATATAACTACACTACATATCAGTAACTGCTCCTGCTATTTAGGATCCTACCTACCCGCTAAGCTTAGGCAATAAATTGTATAGGTGTACCTATATCAGAACTGTGGTATAGCTTTTGGATCCTAAAACTGTATGCAATAATGCATGTGTGACCCGCTACATAGACATACTAGAACATTCATATTGCACTTAAAACAACAACTCACCATCATGTACACCTCGAAGTGATAGAACTTATGGAATCTTTTAAGCAGCACGAATGTAACTTGGAGGTATAAGTGTGCAACGAGACCCTAAATCCAAAATAAACAATTTCGAAAGAGAAACAGCTTATCAGACTCATGAGATCATGCTAGACTTTGAACGCTTGAAATCTTCCATGTCGTCTCGAGATAACGTCACAATGTAGTTTAAACACAGCTTACGGAATAAAACAGTTCGATTCCATTCCATCTCTTTCCGCAGACACACGTAATGACATTCTCCATCTAACTACCAGATGTAGACAAAATTCTGTAAGCTGGCCGAAACATCGCAAGCCAATTTCAGCACAGCATACAAAATAACAACGACATTCACAATGCAAATAAGTAAATATCTAAATGTTACTCTATACAGGAAGGACACCCCTACCTTCTGCTGAACCCATATAGAGTCACTCTCCTTTAGCTTTTCGCCGAATATAATCGTGATGAATCATGAGAATCATTAATCAATCAAGAATATAATATTAATCAAGAGTCATGCCTCACTCATCAAATCAACCAGTTTAGAATTTAACATGCACAACTTAATTCCATGACAGCCAAAGCAACAAGTAGCATCTTGATGTATGAGAAACTCAAACTACTCACTCATCCACCTGTCAGTATATGCAATTAAAATTTTTTACAAAGAGGCTGCACTAGAGCTATCACTGTGAAAACTCAGCCATCTACCACAGCACAAACAAGGCTGTTTTGGTGGACAAGAGAGCTGGTTAGATGTTGCAGGTACCTTGGATCGCAAAGAGCGCCTGCAGAGGATGAAGGAGAACGTGTATGAGACACAGACAGTCACAATCACACAGAGATAGAGACAAAATAGAGCTGCAAGTTCAGGATGTAGGGTGAGGAAGCGAGGCATTGCGTGAAATATGTGATAATAGAAGCTGTAGACGCGAGTGGAAATTTCATATATGAGAAAGCCAACGTACGAGGAAAAGTGATGTAACGCCAGTTGGGAGTCGGAAAAGTGAAATGCGACAGTAGAGATACTGTAGACACTAGCAAGAAGATGGTACTACAGAATGAACGATGAGAGATATGGAAACTGGAACTACTAAACTTAGTTTCAAAACAGGCCAGGGCAGGTCTAACTTTCAGCAGCACACTGAAAGCAGAGTCTAACTTTCAGCAGCACACTGAAAGCAGAGTCTAACTTTCAGCAGCACACTGAAAGCAGAGTCTAACTTTCAGCAGCACACT